AAATTTAAGAAATAATAATTCAAAAAAGTTTATATTAGTAAAATTTTTTTATAAAAGATATATAATAAAAATTTTTACATTTAAATAAATCCTAATATCTAATAATTAAATAAGATAGAATTAAAATTTTATTTTGAAAAAATTAATCTGTTAATATTTATTTGATGTACCAATCTTTTTGCACCAGACCATACATATAAATATTTTCTTTTAAGACTTTGCTTATGTTACAAGTGTTTAAAATAAAAATTAGGTTGATACAAAATATTAAGTTTAAAATCAACCAACACGTTAGTAATTAATAATTGGAATGGTGTGTAATTATCGTATATGACTGAAAACAAAAACCCACGAAATCGTCATTTTGAAAAAAATCAGGAAGTTTGAGACTTTTTGATTTGATGTCCCGATTTATTATGCAATAATGTACACTAGCATAGTGATCGATAAAATATCCATTTCTACCCACAAAAATGTAAAACCACCTGCTGGTAATATGAAAATTTTATCTTTTTTGATGCGAATATGTAGCTTCCGAGATATGTAACTATAGAATGTAATAAGTGCATAATGCAAAAACTCGAAAGTTTCTTATTTACGGGACTTATCATTTTATCGTAATTTCCTTCAAAAACCAAAAGTTTCTTATTATCGGGGGTTGAGTCATATACGGGTATATAGAGTGTGATTTTAGAAAGATATGACTAGCGTTTCATTGTTAACAGGGATATCCAAATTTTAGCCAGAATTGATGTTGGCCATGATTATCAAAACGCGTCAATTTTCATGAGCCAATAACTGCGCAATATAAAGAAAGCCATAACACATAGGATTTGAATGTTAGAGGAGTGTGACACATGATTATTTTTTTGGGCAAAATTATTGCTGTAGAATTTGGAAATCCCAAAATACAATAATAAATAACGGATATGTAGCATATCTATCAATAACTCCGTCTCTTCTAATCACTTAGGTTTTTTCATACACACTAACCCTACACTTTTTTCGCGTCGTTTTCGCGTGTTTTTCTTTTTTGTTGTGACTTCGCCACTTGCTTGATTCATATTAAGATTTAGCTCTTGTGTGAGAAACCCAAAAACAAGCACAATACATGCTTGCAACGGAAAAAGCTATTCACCTTTACAACATCTTTATTCAAGGCCGGTAGCCAAAGAGTCACGCATATAAAGAGAGAACTTTAGTTCTCTCAATAAACTTTCACTTAAATATTTTATATTTCGATATTGAAGAACAACACGTATTTAAATCTTTTAATTCTTTACACGTTCCTTACAAAGTAGCTTCCCTTTAACAGAATAATAGCAAAAACGACGCATATTGTAATCGTCTCACGCAGTTAGATGAGGAGAAACTAATTTTCAAGGGAATCATGGCTTCTACAGAATCAATACTGCCAATATCTTCTTTATTTAGCTACTCAAATCCAGCCTCTCACAATGGACATATCCCGATACGACACTTATCACCATTTTCATCTTTGAATAACAAATTTCATCCGACCTCGCACAACACAATCACATCATTCTCGCGCAATTACCATAATCTCAACAAGTCGAGAAAGCGCTCGGAAACTTTTGAGAAATCAAAAAAATGCGAATTTAATAAAATGGACGATGAAAGAATAATTTCAACAAAAATAACATCATCTACCACCAAATTAGACAAGTCTGGTATAATCACGCAGGTCTTTTTAAATGACGATAGTTTTTCCACCCGATTATTTATAAATCCAATGTCACCAAGTGAATTTTCATGGAGCCCAGCTTCTGAAAGTTCAGCCGAGGAAGAAATTGAATTAAATGAAGTTATTTTTAAATCATCCGCATCCGCATCCTCATCCTCATCCTCATCCTCATCGTCCTCATCATCCTCATCATCATCCTCTGCGCTTGATCGAATATCCGCAAAAATACTCCAATCATCAACCAAATTGCCGCTTACTTCTAAATCGTCAATAAGAAGTTCATCAAATCCTTTGCAAATTTCGTATCCTCGGCGATCACAAAGATCAAAAAAGCCAAGTAAACGCGATTTTAAAGAAGAAATTCTAGGTAGACGACGTCTTTCTGGTCCAGCAACGCGTCTCAGAGGACATAGATACAATGAAGACAACGACAAAGAGAGAGAATATTACGAGGCTAGAGCAGCACCGATCCCAGAACTTGAAGGTTATTACCCTCCCAAATCAAAAACCACTAATGATACGCGTGTAGAATTAAAAACATCACCTTCCAAATACGAAGTATTGGCAAAATGGTCCACGGCGCAGCGGAAATCTTTTCTTGTAAATTATCTTAAATACGGAAAAAACTTCAAACATATTGGTTTGGTCTGCAAAAAATCCATGAAAGAAGTAGTAGAATTTTATTATTTATTTAAGCATACAGACGAATTTCGCATAGCTAAATCAATGCGCACAGACGAAGATGCATATTATGCAAGATTAATGAAGATAGAAAATCAAGCACGAACTTTAAAAAAGACTGCATTGGTTGGTGGTAGCATAAATCATACACGAAAAGGAAAGAAGAAAAAGAAGGCATCGCGCTATTGATTATATTCAATTTAATAGACAATCATTAGTATACAGTTGGAATTTTTGGAAAAGTATTAGATTTATAAATAGTTATTGTATTTATTTAATTATAATTATTATTCCTCACCCTTAACCTTACGCCAAGACTTTCGAAATATTTATTTTAACATTTATAACCTCGCCTTTTAACAATCCAATAAACACATAGATTTATTATTATTATATGATTATTTTTTTGTTTAATATTATCATATTATAAAACTCATAAATAACATTCATAAGTAATATAAAATGTAATATTGATGCGACAAATTCAAACAATTATAGACTTGTGAATAACTGTAGCCACTAGGATCTTGCATTATTATTTATACCCTCCTTTTTTTATTATCTATTATTTCATTTTCTTCTAATTCCCGTTTTTTCGGGCTTATTGATCCATTTTTATCCTGCGCTGCAGTTGATTGTGATTCCTATATATTTTATCGAATAAATTATTTATTATTGTTATGATTAACATTTAAATTTCAATATCTTAAATTAATACTTTCCTTATATTCTTCTGTATTATCTTGATCTTCTTCATCTCCAATTATATCTTTTCGTTTTGAGGTTACACTTGATGAAGATGCTGCTGCTGTACTTGTCGATGGTCCTGCTTCTTCTTCTTCTGATCCATATTCTTCTTCTAAATCACTTTCTTCTTCTTCCTCAGCTTGATTTGGATCATAATCGTCGGCACTATCTTCCGCGGGAAGTTCCTAATTAACGAGTAAAAAATTGTCATGTGATTTTATTTTAATGTATTAATCATTATACAACATAAATACCTGTCCCATTAATGAGGCCAGATTTAATCTGTCCTCATCATAGTCACCATCGTCCACATCCTCCTCCTCTTCCTCCTCATTTTGAGATTTTACTTCCTGTGGAAGAGCTACTCCCTTTCCTTTATCCAACGAAGCTTTTTCATTGGAAGGCTCAGAATCGGTTACTTCCTATTAATAAAACAAATTTTATTGATCACCGTGATAGAGATGTTAAATTTGTTATAACCACGAGGTTATAAACTAACCAATTCTTCTACCTCGTCACTTTCAGACGCTTGCTCCTGAATTTTATGAAGAAATTATTTCTCGAATAAAAACAATACAATTGAATATAAAATCATAATTTAAATCTTGCCGACCTCATTCGAATCAATAGTTTCAGCAGAAATTTGAGGGTTTTTACTTTTATTTGACTTTGAGTAAATGGATTTATTAAGTGAATTTTTGAACTTTGCATAGCATACAAACAACGAGATATTTCAAAAATTTTTACCTTTGTTTGCTCATCATTTGATTCTTCTTCGCTATCACTTTGAACATCATCTTCTGCTTCTAATTCTTCTTCGTTTTCCGAATCGTCTAATTGATTTATACTAGAAGATATAAATTCATATTGAAAATTTAACAATCGTAATGTTATATTTTAGCACCTGCTTGTCCATTTGATCGTTGGATAATTTCGTCATCATCGTCTTCCTCATCATCTTCGTCACTGTCATCTTCTGAATCTACATCTTGTCCCTCCCTTTTTTTGATAATAGGGAATTAATAAGTTTTGCAACTAATAAACATTCTAATAAAAACAATAACATAAAATAAACCAAATAATATAAAAAGCCAATTACCGGTCTTGCCCATCAAGAGAATATAATTGAGGTAGAATTTTAAATATTTCATCCCGATATCCTTGCTTTTTTTGTACGGGGCATTCAACTAAATTCAGATGTTTTAAGTTTGCCAATGTTTTCTATTTAAAAGTTCAAAGGTTATAATTTTAATTTTAATCTATTAATTATACAAAAAGATCGATGCATGCATACCAATGCTTCAAGTTCTTTAATATCGTTTATTTTATTATTGCTCAAGTCGAGGTGGTTAAGACTTTCAAGTTTAGCCATCGTTAGCGCTTCCAAGCCTCCAGCAATTTTATTGTCACCAAGCGAGAGCTTAATTAAATAGAATTAGACAGCTTAGAATATATATTTAAAAATGCGCAGCAAGTTTTATAGTACAAACAACGCGACACCTTTTTGAGTTTTGGCAGTATAGGGAAATTTTCCAGCTTGTGTAAATTTACATTGCATAGTGATAGGGAAACTAGGTTTTTGACTTCCGATAGAGGTGTAAAGTCTGTTTGACCTGGAGGCAAATGACTTATATCTGAGATTTTGGAAATTTTATGGTTATCGAGGAATAATTCCTCGACCTTTGTTGGATCTTCGAATCGAAGTTTTTTTTGTAAGGCTAAGTCGACCATGTTATGACTTTTTCTAAAGATACGGTTAAGAATGAAAAATAATATGTGAAAATACTCAAATAATTACACGCGTTTTTTGCAAAGTTTTATTTGGCCTTAATTTTAGTCTTGGTGTCCGCTCTGATTACTATATGTATATGAGGTTGATCTACACCTTTATTAATTTTAATCGTGATCATATACCGATTAGTGATTGGATCAGGATCTGATAAATAGCAAACGCATTTAATAAAGTCAGCAAAATATTATTTATAAAATGACGAAGAATCTAATTTATTATATTTGTTAATATTTCATATTTATTATGGAGATGCGTTGCTTTTGTTTTTGACTTGCTGCTTTCAGAAGTTTCAACAGATAAATCACCAATAAGATTTGAATCTTAAATTTTAATTGACTCTAAACATGCGAAATCCCCTAGTTTCTATTTTCAAATTTCGATGGTTTCCTGACCATTATTATAATGATTGCCAGCCATTGTTTATCCAATGAGTTTCCTACGGGAAATTTGAATATCAATTTCCGTAATCATTAATTTAACATATATCACACAAAAGTTATAAAAATGTAATTAAATCCCATATCGATATCACCAATTAAAATTTCACAATTGGTTAAAAAAATCACGTGAAATCACTGGAAAATATCATAAAAATGACAAAATTCAATTCATTGTAAAAACTAGAAAAAAGTGAACAAATTGCCATCGCAAAACTTACTAGATAGATATAACGTTTAGAGATCGAATCAATCAAAAAACCGCAACTGACAATCAAATTAGCGTATATGATTGGTTAGCATATAAATGTGTATTTCGCTTTGTAAATATAGGAAAGGTTGTTAAATTGGAACTGGTTTTGTTATTAAATGAGAAAACGATGATTTTGGCATTTATGTCGATTTCCGACTTTTTGACATGTTTGACATTTGGACATCGTAATGGATATAGATATTCTTATCCAATATGTTCTAAAGCTATTTATCGGTGTATTTGCAAATACCATCATGCCAGTGAAATCACATATATTAAGAGTTATGTAGTAGTTTTCTCCAGTTTTTCAAGTTGAAATGACCTTTTGTATTACTTTAATGACAATTATTCCTCTCTTCAATATTTTTGAAATATCCAAGAATCACGTTCACCACACTCGCCAAATACTCATCGTCATTTAAATCTGGTCTATTCCCCGTGTCGACAAGCAACGAAAAATCAGGACCGTACTCTTCGAAATATTGATGTTCAGGTATATCTTCTTGAATTGAGATACCACCATCTATCAAAAAACTTGTCATATACGCATTACATCTAGCTACGTTTGCATGATTATATCCACCTATGATTAAACACGATGATAAGAGTTTGATCATTAAAAGTAAAAAAATCTTATTGAGAGTGAAATATAAAATAATCAAATTACCACCACCCAAGAAAATTGCTGGCTTATTCCAGCTAGCAATTCCTTGAACACATTGACCAAAACTTTGTATATCCAAGTTCCATTCACGTGCCGGATCACCAGCTAAGCCTAATCGGTAATAATTTATTAACACGCTATTCTTAACAAAACAAATCACATCCAAAATACTTCACCATCACAACCACATTGTACTACAATCGCATCCGGTTGAAATGTATTATACGCATGTCCTAAAACATGTTCAGCTATTTGTAGAAATCGCGCACCTCTCAATCCTTTTCGAAGTGGAACGTTTATTGTGTGATACATGCCTTTACCTTGTCCAATATCAGTTAATGCACCACTTCCTTAAATATAAAAGATATAAGTACTCGTCTTTCGTTATTTAATACCCAATGAACTGAGTTTTTTTACCAGGATAAAATCCCCTCGCGTGATGATGAAAAGAAATTGTCATTACTTTGTCTGTATAAAGAAATGCGCTTTCCACACCTAAATAGAAAAACAATTTTCTCCTATTAATATTTAATTCCGTATATTAATAATTAATAATAAATACCGTCCGAATGATGTAAATCTAAATCGATATACAAAATTTTATCAAATTTACGGCGTAATTCGATAATACCAAGCACGATATCATTCACATAACAAAATCCTTGACATTCTGATTTTTTCGCATGATGTCTATGCTTATTAATTAAAATTATAAATTGTGAATTAGTAAATTGTTTTTACCATCAAATTAATCAAGGTTACCTTCCGCCATCCCAATGAATCGCTATGTCCACTCGTCCGTCAATAACAGCACGAGCCGCTGCAATAGTAGAACCAGCTACAAATTTAACATAGTCGCTTAGTCCTATAAAGATTGGACAATCCTTCGTCCAGAAATAAATATGAGATGAGACATTGCACTTGATTTGAATTAAATAGTGTATAGCGAATTCTATATACATGCTCTAATCCGTATTCTTCCGCTAACTCTGTAAATGATGCCGAGGAATCCTCACTATCTTCAAAATCATTCTCTGCTTCAATTTCCTGACCTTCTTTATCGATATTATTCATTATTGAAGCATCATGATTAATATGATAAAAAACGTTTAAATCCTCATTTTCATTTTCATCTTCATCTTCATTTCGTTGTCTTCTCATTCTTAATCCTTCTTTTTCTCTATCATGATCAAAGGCGCCATGATTTTTCTCTGCTTTCAATAGGAAATCTAGAGAACATATAAGAAAATTTTTATCAAGATATTAACTAAAACCTCATTTTGACAAATCTTACTGATGAAATCTTGAGAGTGAAATTTTGTAAGATCCTGCGATGTGGCAGCATATGGCTTAATTATCCTACAAAAATCTCAAATCAATCCTTCGGAATATATATTGTCAATTATTTCCTTAATAAACGATTATACCTGACTTTCGCGAAGAGTCCATATGAGTGAACAAGAGAATGTGTTAAAAACGACTAATTTTAATTTTCATTATTTTCGGCACTTATTGTTTTTTAATTTTGTAATAAAATTCATTATTAAATAATCTCTGATATGTGTAAATTCATACTCTATTTCGGTTTGCAGGTAATAATGAGGCTATTTTAGAATATTCATTAGAAAACACGTAGCCCACCCGACGATTTTGTGGATATTGAGAATTAGTTGAAGTCATTTTAAATTCACGTGTCATACAATCGATAAAACTTTTGAATGTAGACGCGACGCGTTTTTATAAGAGACTTGAAAAATTCGAGATATGCAATATAATATATACGTCGCAATTGTAAAATGAAAAAATAAAATATAGATAACCCACTATTAATAAATTATTCTAATATAGATAACGAACTCACAAATCAAGTCGTAACTTTATCAAGTTAATGAACACGCTTTCAACAAAATTAAATTAGAAATATAAGGGAATAATAAAAATTCTACCGCAGAGCGCTACCTTCTCACAAGCAAAGCATTTCAGGGATACTATAGGCAACCGGAATAAATCTATTTTTGTATTGATGATTCATAAGATAAAATGATCGCTCAATTATCTACTAATTTCAGGGACCTCCCAACTTTTTTCATGCCTTCTCTCTTTTCCTCCAAATGATGTTCCAGCAAATCTTCAATACCACCAGCATCAAAATAACCATAGCCTGACGTCATTCTCATAGTTTCATTTTCATTTAATAATATATCTCGTGCCAAGCCAGGTATTCGTCGTTCGGATATTAAAAGCGCTTGCACATCAGATAAATAACTTTCGAGTGTTTGGAGAAAACGACTCGTTTGACGATGTTTTGAAGAAGCACAAAACTTGTTTGGAAAAAATGAGATGATAAATTATTTTTTTCGATATTAATGCACAAATAAAAAATTTACAGAACTTACCGCAATTCCTTCATCTTTTATAATATAACCAATTCCAAATCCATCAGCAACAACTGGACCAAATCCAAATAATCTGAGTGCGGGGTTACCGCAATTACTCGTGCTTATTACAGTGTGATTTAATGTCGGCCATCCGGAATCCTTAAAAATAGATGGGATTTTCTCTTCATCCAAATTTTTGTTACGTGTTTCTCTTTGCCAAACACATTGTAATGCATATAAATGTCTATCTTGTCCTAATCCTTGTGAACACATCTTGGTCAAATTCACATGAGTATTAATTGCCTTTCGTAAAGCTTTCAATTTCTCTGGTTGAGGCGCATCTGAACAAAACAACTTTACAAAATCAACCGACTCCGTGGTAACTGATCTAATTGCTTCAGTTCGCCCATGAAGGAAAGCTTTAGTCATCGCCGGTTCATAAGTACATTCAATCGATCCGTAAAGACCATAATAAGCTGCTTGAAATGCCATCTAAAATCATAGAAAGCACAAATATTTATGAGTATCATTATGATGATGATGGTGATGGTGATGATGATTATAATAATACTACTCACTTGTACAAATGCATCCGGACTCAGATGACAACTTGTAATAAAGCCTTTACCGTATTTATTAAATTCTAATACTTTAATTTCATTCTGCAAGATCAAATCGCTTAACCTAGTCTCAGCAAATCTGATACCTATACAGACTTCATGGGTAAGAACCCATTCAAGTTTTTTTGGAGTAGTGTCTATAACAATTGGTTTTTGTTTATGTGGTGTTGTGTGATACGATGATGATTGAAACAGAGATTTAGTTTGCGAGTTTATGGTATGTGCAAAGCGAAGTATCGTGTCTGTGTAAATATCCGATACAAATCGAAGGACTGTATGACCATCAACACCTAATTGTGGGGAAAAAATTATTTTAGGCATATATATAAATATATATATATATAAAATTAAATATTTACCTGTATGCTCAAAATTCACTCTTGAATTAGGTGGAATAAATTCGTGGATAAGTTGAATTCGTTGTATTAAAATAAATAAATAAATAAATTCATATATCGTACTCACCCAGCAGATCCATTTTTGCATACAATAATCTGTAATTTATCATACCATCGATTAGCACAAGTTCCGATTTGCACAGCTTGTTGGATTTCATATGAGCCACAAAGCATATTGTTAGCAAGTTCATCCCCAGTATTAGGCGAAACCTCATCCAAGCATACAACGAATAGTGCCGAATCAAGAACTTTTAAAGAATCTCTATTGCTTTCAGAATTTTCTAGAATTTTTCTTAAACCAGCCCATGTTTTACGGTTTTCTGTAGACAAAATGCCAACTGCATGTTTGGCAACTTCGATAATAGGCAATTCGAGTGCATCCTGCTTAATAGTCTTTAAATTTGCAACGAGTTCTTTTTCTGTGATTGCTACTTCATTATCTTCATTCAAGACATCGAACCAATAAAATTGACTTCTGCATATCACAACGATATGTTTAGAATTTTGATCGGTATCCATTTTACATCCGTTTTCTGTTGGAAGACGAGCAGTACCAAATAAACGCCTGTATTGTGACATACAGAGGTGTGTACCCCTAAATACATCTGGTTCGAGTGTTTCTGATCTCAAAGCTTGAATGAATTTTAGGGAAGATAGAATTAAGGATGCAGCACGAACAACTTGATTATTTCTTGCGGGTGTGGGATCATCTTCCAGCACAAAAAATGGATTCAGATTTAAAACCACCGAATCTGAGTAATTGAGGTAAGAGTCGTACCAGAATTCTTCAATATAACTCGATTTATTGTCAGCATAGGTCTTTAGCTTCTCTTGAAGTTCAGGACCTTCATTTTGAAGAAACTGTTGAACTGCTGCAGTTGTTTCTTTGTGCTGCTTTTGAGTCTATAACAAAGCAAACAATTTTCAAGTTAATAGCCATAATTACTAATTATCATCTTCTCTATCGAAGTCAGCGATTATGCTTATCGTAAAGTATATCATCTATCACTAATATAGTTAAAACATATATCGATTTATTTTTTTGTAACATATCGATATTAATTGATATCAATTTTAATCAATTAACAAATTAAAAATATTAAATAACGTTTTACCTGAAGAGGCTTGACTGCAGCTAAATATTTTTTCAAGGTCTCTTCCAAGGGAGGTATAGGCAACTTTGGGAGTCTATCTTGATACTGATAAGTTTTTTTGGAATGCATCCCATTAGATGGTATTGACTCGATCATAGAGCTCATTATGAAGAGATTTTTTACGAGGATAAAAGGAATTTTTATAGAAAACCAGGATCCGAGAGGATGAGATGAAGGACATAATGATGGATTTCATCTCCATCATCTGATCATCTTTGTGTGAGAATTAGTGCATATTTTCTATAAGATTCTCATGTTTCACGTTTACAAAAAAAATTACCAAAATCTGATTTTTGCCACTGGTTCTTTTGTGGTAAGTGAATAAGTAGAATACGTGCCTGATTATCCAATCACATATTTTCTAGAATATGCCTTTTTTAGAAGGCGGTATTCAAAATCATGATATTCTCTTTCGACTAGTATCATAAAATTTGGTTTTTTTCTTTGTCATGGCCAACATGGCCAATATATCACTAAATAACTTAAATTCAGACATTAAAGAATATTTTTTGGAAGGGTTTACAGAAGACGACTCAAGTCGATATCTGCTGCACTCTTTTTTGCTTTTAAATCATGAGGTGAATATTTCTTCTCGAATTACACAATTTATGTATAACAGAATTTTCATTTAACACTTTACTGTTTTTCATAGTGGAGTAAAATTGCGGTGAAATTTCTGTACAAAGACACTTGGATATTCATCACACGAATGTCAAACGAAAAATTACGTGCTAAACAATTAATTGATACATATTTGAAATGTCTACCTAATAGTGGGATCACTACGACATATGATTATATTGAAAAGACAAGGAATCTAGACATCCCCGCTTTATATGAATGCGTAATGTATTGGGAAGAGGAAACACAACCTCAATATGATAATCCCCAGGTCGAAGATATATTTTTCAAATTATTTAGAGCATTCATCAAGAAATCTAATTTAAAAGAATGTACATTTGCAAAATCACGTCAAGAGGAGCCACCTCTTAGGTCACCTATGAATGATAATTATCTTCTCGAACTCGTAACAGGACTTGATGTTCGTGGTGTTCAATTGAATTATTTGAATTTAGGATATTATCCCTGTAGTGATAATGCACTTCGATGTTTGACCGGAAGAGTAACTCATCTCAAAACTTTTAAAGTGAAAGTACAACCAGGCAGCGATCAGGCATTAGCTGCATTTTTGAGTTCACAGCGAGCATTAACAAAATTGAAGATTCGTTCCGGAAATGATATTTCTGAAACGATATCTGCGCTAGCCAGTTTATCAAAGACACTTGTAAAACTTCGAATAATATCTTGTGATTTGGAAACTTACGAAACGCCATTTACGAGCATAGCAGCCTGTACCGGGTTACGATCACTATACATGTATAATACTAAATTTACGTCTAGAATTTCTCCCTCAGATTTATTGATGCCCATTGCCAGAAGTTGTGCATTCCATAATGTCGATTTTACTGGTACTATTCTTCCTGGTGATGTTCTTGCTAGTATTGCTATCCATTCTTCGTCAACATTATGTCGAGTAATAATAAGTGAGCGTCCAAATAAATATCCACAGCCGGATGATGATGATGACTTGGCAGTTGGTATCAGGGAGCTGGCGGTTCACGCAAAGAATCTAAAAGTTTTTGTGTGTAAAATTTGGCCTGGGGAAACAACTGCATTACTTAATCTCCTAAATTCGATTGGGCATTCACTTGAACGATTGGAAATTGGTTCGCTGGCCTTAGTAAATCGAGAATCTTCTGATATAATTCGCGCAATCGCTCAAAACTGTTCATCACTGAAAACTTTGGATGTATCCTACCTTCGTTTTTCGAGAACAGCATTTGAAGAATTAGTTCGTGGAACCCGAATCGAAGACTTATATTTGCATGGAAATCGTGATATTGATGACGCTTCGCTTAAAATTATGAGGGAGGTATGGGATGGTACTTTGCGATTTTTGGATATTACTGAATGTGATCATGTTAGTGACAAAGCGATTAATGAGTTGTATGATTGGGTTGAAGATTTTGAAACTGATAGGAGAGAGTTTTGACCAAACGAAAGAAATTTAATTCGACTTTTATTTATAAATTTTTGGTTATTTATTTTACTTTATATTCTAGTCTTGTTTATTTCTTTATGTAATTTTAAAGATTTTTTTTCTCTTCCCCCTTCTCTTTGCTATTATAATCAATAAAAAAATGCGCAATATTTTTTTATCGACATTTTACTCGATTTTTGAAACGTTATGATTATCAAAGTATAAAACGTTCACCATTATGGATGAGTTATTTGATCTTTCCAAGAAACCTATTGACGGTGGGTTTGGTAACATTCCAGAGGGGACTTTACTCAAAGAAGCGAACAAAGTTCCCTTGTTCATGACTGAATTACCCGAGGAAGAAAATGACACTCTTGCTGCGTTACAGTCTTTGCTTTATGATGGAACACCTGAAGGTTTCACTTATTCCTTTCTTCATATACCAGTATTTGTTCTTTATATGTTTACTCATCTCTTTTGTATTTTATATTCAACAGAAGTCGCGGAAAACTTTAAAAATCAAGGAAACGAATGCTTTAAGGCTGGCAAAACAAAATATCAGGATGCCATTGCATTTTATTCTAAGGCATTAGATACAAATTGTAAAGACAAAACGATTATTGAGGCATGTTTGACGAATAGAGCCGCTGTTAATCTAGAATTACGTGAGTCATCCTCTTTATTATATATGGCGAATGTAGTCTAATGAAAAAAGCACGCGTCTGACATATAAGACTAGATTGCCTGGCCTTCATTAATATTTACAGAAAACTATCGAAAGGTGCTGACAGATTGCGCCAAGGCTTTAAAGATCAACCCGAGAAATGTCAAAGCATTATTCAGATCAGCCAAGGCTCTGTATATGCTTGATAAAATTGACCAGGCATTAGATTGTTGTAATCTTGGCTTGGAGGTATTTTTTTTTTATCAAGCTTTATTTTATGCACAGATTTATTTCTTTTTATTTAATCTTTGTTATTATAAATGACAGATTGAACCTAAGAATAAATACTTTCAATTGGAGAAACAAAAATGTATAAGGCAAAAAGAATTTTTGGACAAAAAGAAGCGAGAAAGGGAAGAAAGAGCACGTCAAGAACTTGAAAGAAAAAAAGTCTTAGAAAAAGCGATAAAAGTATATATCGTAACAAATTGCAATTAGAAGCATATTCATTGATACATTATTTTGATTAATAGGAACGTAACATTCAAACGGAAACTACTTCCGACGCGCCAGATTCCCCAAATTCTGTTTACTTAGACGCCGAAACTCAACAACTTGTTTGGCCAGTATTTTTATTATATCCAGAGTATAAGGAATCGGATTTCATAGCACAATTCAATGAGGAACATACATTTTTGGATCATTTAGAGATGGTATTTGAACATCGCGCTCCGTGGGACATAGAAGGTAAGTACACTCCAAAAAACGTGGATATTTATTTTGAGTCTGCGTCACAAGCATTTGGTGCGAAACCAACGTTGATAAAGGTTGGACGGAAGATTCCCCTTAAAGAAGTGTTATCACATCGAAAATATGTAGTTAGAAATGGAATACCTAACTTCATAATATTACCCAAGAATGCACCATTCACTGAAAACTTTTTGAGAAAATATAAATAGAGATTTGTGCTTCGATCATAAATTTGTTATGATGTAGTGATGATACAATGATGAGACCTCTATCTCGGAGATTAAACCGTTTTATTTGTCATCTTTAAGATAGTCTCTCTCTTATTTAAAAGTGTTTTATATATATATTATGTATATATTGATGGATAAATTAGTGATAATATTTTTGTGACTTTTTTTGTTTTGATTTTTAAGTTGATGAGTGAAATTAAATAAAAAGATACACAGAAAGACTAATAAAAATAATGACGAAAGAAAAATAACAGAGATTTTATCTACAGTCAAACTCATAATTTAGGACACCAATAAAATGAACACTAGGACATACTAAAATTTTTTGCTCTATGCGTATTTTCAAATAGCCGGCCAGCCCACCCCATCCCATTCTTGTAGTACAACCCAATACATAATTCACTCTATCATTTACATTAATATGATACATTATTTAAACGACCCATTGTTCATGAACTCTATTGGCACAGATAATGATAGCCTGCTGGCATTATTTTGGCCTTTATATAATATTATCGATCTCTATTATGCGAAAAAATGAGTGTTTTGTTTACTTTCTTCGTGCACTGGCATTTCACTCAATTTATATTCATTCAATTCCTGCTTGATTCTTTGCGCTAGCATAGGTGTCAATTTATTGCAAGTTGTCTGATCGCCACGACGATCGTAATCTTCTTTTGTCCAAGTATCGTGGATAAATATGGTTGAAGAGAATTGAATTCGTTTAAGAGAAGGTGTGGAAGGTGAAGGAGTGACATCAGTATCTCGAATAGCGGCCAATGATGGTACCGAATGAGATGCTTGGAAAAGATGGTTTGAATATGGATTATTTTGAGCTTGGGGATCGTAGGATACAGGCGAAGTTGTGAAAGTAAGGTTATTATTGCTGTTGATGTTCTTTATAATGGAAGTAGGTGCACTAAGACGCTTCAAAGTAGGTCTCTGTTTTGACGGTGGAGGGAGAGAAAATGGTCGATGAGCCTGTATATCATCTTCATCTTCATGATCTTCAAGAGTTTCAGTGTAAACTTCATTATTAATATTATCTGATCGATATTGAGGATAAACAGGTGAGTGATGTTGATCCGATTGTTGTAATTGCTGAAACTGATTTAAATGCAACTGCTGAGGTGCTGAACTATAATGATATTCGACTGCGGTTGGTATCGAGGAAGACCTTGGTGGTATGATATTTTCTACTCCTACTCCTGCACTTCCGCCCATCTCTTTTCAATTTATCGTTCCCAACGATAAACATTAAACAAAAAGTAAGCCAATGAAAAAATCGGAAGCATAAAAAATCTTTCAACAAGTAATAATTACCTTGATTTTTTATTTCATTTTCATCAAAATCATCATTGGTAATTGTCTCAGCATTAGCGAAAGAAACATCCTTTAAATCATCTGAAATACGTTTCTTCTTTCGTTCACTTTGCCTCTTTTTTCTGCGTTGTTCTGATGAAGAGGATGATGACGATGAAGATGATGTTGACGATGTATTCTTTTGTTGCGTATTTTTATTTTGATCTGATGATTCTTTTTTATCATTCTTGAATAAAGATGAGATATCAATAAAAGTACGACGCTTAGAAGACGAAGCTGGCGCAGTATTAAATCTACGCCTTGGCGCATAATTTTTTTTAAAATTGACACCAGTGTCACCATTTGCAGATGAAATTGATGAAGGCCGAGCCCGTTCAGAATCAACATCATTCCGATCGCTACTATAAGAGCGATTACTATTGTTGCTATTGCTGCTGTTCCTATTTTTTTTGTTATATATCACGCCGTCACTTCGACGCCTATCAACTTTTGAAGAAACTGAGTTTGATCCAGTCTTATTATTGGATGGATTGAAATTATTATTATTATTGTTGTTGTTGTTGTTGTTGTTGTTGTTGTTGTTATAGTTGTTGTTGTTATTATTGTTGGTGGCGGTGTTGTTAAAATTGCGATAATTATTATTACTATTGTAATTATTGCCATCTCGTCGCAAATTGTTAAAACTGAGAACACGTCGAATTCGATTGGTAATTGAATTTTGATCTTTATCTTTGAACATTGATTTTCTTAAATCGACTGGCGATCCTCGAATGGAACGATTTGCGGAAGATCTTTGCTCATTTATTTGTCTCAGAGAAATATCTTCTTTTCCATTGTTGCCATTATTATTATTATTATTATTGTGGTTTTTGTTGTTGTTGTTGTTGTTGTTGCTGTTGTTGTTGTTGTTGCTGTTGTTGTTGTTGTTGTTATTGTTATTGTTATTATTATTGTTATTGTTATTGTTATTGTTATTGTTATTGTTATTGTTATTGTTATTGTTGTTGTTGCTGTTGTTGTTGTTGTTAACATACCTAATATTATCAGTAGATCTTCCTCGACTATGACTCTTATTATTCGTAGATTGTGTACGTTGTGGTTTCGAAGATAATTGCTGCTGATCTTTTACCCGATTTTTTTCTCCATCAATTCCAACAACTTCAGTTTCCACCGATTGCTGTGGAGCAGCAGCCCTTGTAACAATTTCTACTTTTTGTGGTATTGCTTCTATTATTTGTGCTCCTATATAAGTCTCTTCATAAATTTGTGGTGTTGGCATTGAATTATGTCTATTATTAGTAAAAGTAGTACGAATATGATTACTATCACTATACTCGATATAGCTAGCAGCTCTCCGCCGTATTTTACGCGAAGATTGATTGTGAATCTCGTTGCTAAGATACATGCTATGCCGGCTAGCAATGTTGCCACCATTAGTAATTCTATCAGTTAATGGCAACGAACTTTGTATTGTAGTCTGCTTTCCAATATTCGCACCAGTCGTAGTTGTAGTCTGTTGTGCAACAATATTTTCATATATTGAAAGAGGAAGATGTTGCGGTAGAAAATTCACCAGCGAGACATTCTCGTCATCGTATACTAGGGTTGTTAGCTTTCCTTGCGTTGGGTCACTTTGGTAATTGGCTACTGAAACTGCCATTTTATGCGGTCTCAGTTCTAACTAAGATATAGTGAATTTTTTTTGTTATACGCGCGCGTATTGGTTTCTAAAGACGAATAAATATGGGGTTATTATGATTATTATTAAACTTATTAGATTATCTATGAATGTTAATATACAAGTAATATGAATATAAAGGAAAAGAAAGAGAAATCGCGAGATGAGAAAGAGTAGAAAAATACAAAAAGTTTAAAGTTACAGCCAAAAGAATACAAGAAGGTTTATTATAAAGTATTAGATATTATTCTAAAAGATTAATAAATTATAAAAAAGAAACTTTTAGGAAATTATAAACTAAATTAAAATAAATAATTTTGGGTCGTGTTCTTTCACTGTCTCTAGATAAGAGAAAGAATAAAGATGTCGAAAGAAATAAGAAAAAAAGGAAAGTGAACAAGGATTATCGGTTACTCTGTTTACTTTGTTATAATAGGGAATGTGGGGGAACACTTAAAAAAAAATGTTGATATGATTATGGTTATGATGACGATGATTAGTTGCCAAGTTCGATTTGACGCCTGCTAACCATTCAGTCGGGTAAATATTAACGAAAAAGAAGCGAATTTTATTAGGAGTAATAATTAATGTTTTAATTATTAATATTTATTAATATTTATCATTAGGATATAATATGTACATTTAATAATTTTTAATAATTTTATCGGTGCAATAGGAAAATAATTGCGCTATGATCATCGAGTACAAACGAAACGGATGGATATTGGCACAGTAATGACACAGATAAAACGATGGTTCCATCAGGCAAAGTCCGGAGAAAAATCCCCATTAATATCTTTACCTTGTGTTTACTGTTGGAGCAGTAGAATCAATTAAGAAATGTTTATTGGTATTGTTTTTTGTGTGATAAAGAAAATGCCATTGTTATTTTTGTTTAATCGCTGGCAACTTTATATAATTTGGAAAACTATATAGATATTTCAAACTAAAAATGGGTACGCAATAAAGCTATGTAAGAGTTACACGCATTATCACTTTGCAGAAATCGATAATACCCAAAAAATAAAGTTAAGGCATAACCAGTTGCATACAAGTACAGATGTGCGTGGTAATTTCAGGCAGGATAGACCGATTCAACCAAGACACTGCACTAATTCTTAAATAGATCCAATAATTCCGGAGGGAATTAGATTTTTGCAAGAAATCTAGATAATATAAATTTTAATAAATATATTCTAGATGGACAATATATAAACGAATCTATTCCTTCCCAAAATATTTTTTTGCAATAAATCGAACACGACTATCGAAAGCGGGGGAAGTTATTGGTAAATTGGGCTCATAGAATGGATTCAATAAGATCTGTAGGATGTTAATATTAATCATACTGTCATCAACAAAATTCAAGACTTAGCACCATGCAAAAAAAAAAAAATACCTTAATGTACAACTCATAGCATTCGTTGAAAAAATTCCGTATAACATCTTCACTTTTTGTTTCATGCAACAACATAAATTTTATATCTTAATTTTTGAATTTTGTAAATTAAATTCATAATATCGCAAATTCATTAAAAAAAAGAAATTACTGTTTGATCTTACGGAAAAAAGGATACTTCCAGCAGTCACATGCGCTGAAACATGCCATTCATTAAATTTGTCTACGGACTTGAGATACCTTTTTTTAATAATAAATGGTCATTAGTAAACGCAAAAGAATAATCGGGAAATTCATAAAATTATTTTCTTTTTTACTACATTGTATTGGTATTCCATTGCATCTCTTCAACAATATCTAATGCGGAATGAACGATAAATTGATTCAAGTGACGATGCTCATCTTTCTACTAATATTTTATCATTAATTAATTAAACTAATTAGCAAAAATTGTTCTTTCAAGATAAAAATTTATTTTTTAATAGTATATTAATTCACTTTCATTAATGAAAATACAAAACCTTAACAATTGCGTCTCCGCCTCCTTTTGAAGAAGACCCAAATTCGGCTTCGTAAAGCGGGTTATCTTTGGTGCCTACTATTACAAAATAAAAAGACATGGTATTTTTGATAGTGGGGATGATCAATAGAGTTCCTCGTATTTGAATAGATGTTGATCATGTAGATCTCTGTATTATATACTGTCAATCTCAAAACGCACCATCGTGTAAAAAAATAATAAACACGAAAAGACACGCATGAATTGCGAACAAGATACAGAAGAATGATGGAATATCTACGAGCACTCTTCGTAGATGGAGCTAAACGTGGAGATGTTTCGAGCGTCACCATGCCGGGTGGAAAACGTTTGTATTCCGTCACGGACATCGACCGAATGTTTAACAAGGAGAGACAGCTCATGCGCAGTGGTTAAAGTGATCAAAAAATTTAATTTCACATTACCCGAATTATGGGCAAAACTTTTATTAATAGTAGAAGTACAAAAATACTATATTGAAACATAATTTGTGATGTCATCACAATGACAAGACTTAATCCCGCCCTCGAACTGCGTGGATTCATGTGACATTCATATGGCAGTAGCGTGATAAACTTTATTTCAATAAAGTCGTATAAATACGAAGATGAAAACATATTTCACAAATAAAAAACGCAATATACCAATTTTTTTGCCAAGCCTACCCATAAAGGAATTTACTATGTGGGTTAACCTTCATTATCTACTTTTAGGATCTTTACGGAGAACATCACAGAGATTACGAAGTTCTTTAAGGCGTTCATCATGGTGCTTTTCTCAGTCAGATTTGGTACTTCTGGTACCGCTTCAAGATGCTGTTCCGTCTTATCAGTTTGGGAATTTTCCTTCGAAACAGGCTGAGATGAAATAACCGCTTGCTGAAGGCGTTCTTTATTGTCCCATATTTCATAAATACGTTTAGGGCCAATATGAAATTTTTTAGCCATTATTTTTAATGCATTGGGTACCCTACCTCTTGTTCTCTAATTTCTTTAATATCAGCTTCTGATAACAGTGTTGCCTTAGCATCATAGAATGTATCATAGAGACGAGCGACCATCTTTACTAGATTTTACATACTAGGGAAAAAAATAATCTTTTCAATAAATGTCGATGTGTTTCAATGCTCTTCAATGCGTATCGATACTCTTCAATATCTCAACATTTTTCGGTGCGCATTAATGCGTATCAATAGGCATTAACAGGCATTAATAGGCAATAATTGTTAGCTATTTAATGGATTCTAAAAATATCTTACTTTCGAGGCCAGAAAAATTATTGTAACTTTAGCAGTACATGGCTGATTTTTTTTCCCATCCAAGGTAAAAAAATACTAATAAAATGCCCCAGAGATCTGGATAATGGTAATAAACTTGGAGATTCTCCAGCTAATCAATACCCTCCAAGCCGAACAGAGCTTGAAGAACAACTTTCTTGCGTAAAAAAAAGACCGTGAACTCGCTATATATCGGGGAAGTCAGTTTGCAGATAAATACGATGCCTTAGATAGAGAAAATAAGCATATGCCGGATTCTCTAAATAAAACGAAAAAAGAAAATAAGCGCATACAGGATGGCCTTAATAAATCCAAAAAAGAAAATGATAAACTTTCTAATCGTGTTCATCAGCTTGGCCAGTTTTTGTTATCAAACTCAGTGTGATACCATGTTCTTGTAGTCTTTTTCTAACTACTAGCTAATTTTTATATTATATATAATA